ACACACAAATACACACCGAGTGCCAACAACTAGGGATAATGCAAACCTGGACTTCATTGACTTTCCCAGCTCTGCTGCCTAAGATCCTTTAACCAGAGATGCCCAGGATTGAACCTGCAATCTTCTGCCCACAACACAGGTGCTTCACCCTTGAGATATGCCCCCTGAACATGGGTGGCTAAGGTCTCTCTCTCTCTCACACACACACAAACACACACTTTAAGTTTTATGCAATGACACCAAAGGACAAGCTCACCTCTCCTGCCCCGTGTAGGGTACCAGAAGAGTAATAATGCCAACCCCCTCTGACCTTGGTGCCATTGCGGTGTTGGTGAGCCTTCAGGATTAGACTGTCACCCGAAGAAAGGAAATAAATGTGAAGTTTCCCCTCCACCCTCTCTCCCTCTCTCTGTCCGTAATTCAAGGGCAAATTGTTTCTCTCTTCCGCACACAAGAAGCCTGGCTCTCAAGCATAAATCTCAAACAGCTGCTGCCTGGGTGGCGTAGTGATTTAAGAGCCTTGGCCTTTGACTCTTGCTTCCAACCCTGTTTAAAACCTAAAGTGGGATGGGTTTGGGGTTGGGGCCATTTCATCCCCAGAGGACAATTCATTCACATACAAAATGCGGGCCTCCGAGGCAGCCTCCCCCCCCCCCCCCCGCCCGCCCCAGCCAGTCTTGTTCTTTGCACGGGGAAGGGAAGGCTTTAGCCAGAGGAACAGAGGCTGGCAGGGGGAAGGGTGTCAAGGTTAAATAAACTCAGGCATGAATCCGGCAACCTGTTAACATAAACACCACAACAATGGCATAATAATGCTACCACCAGACTTAATAAGCGTCAACAGAATGTTTCCCCTCCTCCAGTGTCCAAAGTGCACTGAGTTGGTTCACAAGCAATGCCGAGCCACCAGGCTAAGAACCTAGGAAGGGCCCCGCTGGATCAGACCAACGGTCCCTCTAGTCCAGCATCCTGCCTCACACAGTGGCCAGCCAGTTCCTCTGGAGGTCCAACAGCAGGGCAGAAAGGCCAGGGTCCACCCAATGTTGTCTCCTGCCGCTGGGATTCAGAGGTTGACTGCCTCTGAATGTGGAACACAGTACCAGCCCTATGTTCACATTCTCCCTCTTCCCCTCCTGTGTTCAATTCAGCGTGGTATTTCCCAGTTAGCACAAACCCATAAGGTGCTCTTACATCTCAAACGGCAAACTCATGGGTTGCATTTCCCCTCCAAACAGAAAGTGCAAGCCGTTTTTGAACCCTCACTTAAAAAGTCCTGGATTAGAGAGGAGACATAAGTGGTAGCTTGCCAGTGCAGCAAACTGTGGTTTGCACTAAATAGGAAACAACTAATTAGGTGAAGCATGTGAGGAGAGGAAGGAGAGTGCAGACAAGCACAGGGCTCCTTCCTGTAGCAGCAAACCCAGGGTTTGGAATTACATTTGAATGACCCCATTTTCTTAGTACTGCAGACAGTGAGCTGAAGGTAAAAAAAAGGAATGCCTGCAGTCACCTGGCCAGTGGAAAGACTTACCAGCATCCGCGCGACGTCACTTCTGGTGTGCCCTGGAAGTAACATCATCGCATTGCTGGCAACGTGGGATGCTCTGGTATCTGGCAAAAACTCTATGGTAAAAAGGCATCTACCACAGACTTTTTGCCCGAATACCAGAGCATCCCAAGTCACCGGTGATGAGATGACATCACTTCCAGTGTGTGCCAGAAGTGACGTCGCCGACGATGTTGCTGCAACCCCATGAGGAGGGACTTGGCAACCCAATCTTGCACCACTGGTGTCTTAATGAACTCATGGCTGAGGAACTGGCGGCTACTTAATTGGCAGCTCAGTCAGTGTGCTGGGCTACTTAACGAAGTAGAGAAGGTCATTCCTGCCTCTGCAAATGTTCCAGCTCCCCCCATACGATTACAAAAACAGGGAGAGAGGAATCCCTTTCACCAATCCATGTACTAGAAGGTATTTCATAATACATGGATTGACCCCCTGAGTCACAGGAGAGGCCAGATGTCATTTGGCAAAGCAGGAAGCCAGACACACCACTTACATGCTTCTTCAGGCCTCACAATAGCCTTTGGTAGTCACGCGGGCAGGGCAGGGCGAACCTGAAGACTTTTATTTACTTCATCTCTGCACTGCCTTTCTACCCAGTGGGGACCCAAAACAGTCTACATAGTTCTCCTCTCCTCCATTGTATCCTCACAACAACCCTGTGAGGTAGGTTAGGCTGACCCGAGGTCATCCAGCCAGCTTCCATGGCAGCGTGGGAATTCGAACATGAGTTTCCCAGACCCTCAACCAGACAGAGAGACAGATCCCTTAGAATTAAATGCCCCAAGCAAGTTATCCAAATTTCTTTCAAAAGCTAGATAGAAAAAAAATGAGTGTGTTTCGAACCAATGACCATCCTGAAGACGATTACTCCCCATGCCGAAAACACACCGACAAGACCAAATATAATGCTCACATAAGCCAGGGTTGGCCAAACTTGCTTTACATAACAGCCACACAGAATAAGCGTCAGATGTTTGAGAACCGCAAGACACGAACAAATATGACACACACGTTTTTATTGGGAAAGATGCAGATTTGCTTTTTATCAACATTAAATCAGACTGTGTGAAAGATCCTGAGCTACAGTGTGGCCACCCCTGACGTAAGCACTTCACTGACCCCTGAATGCTTGCACGGACATCTTGGCAGGGGCCGTTCGATAACCATGGGATAACCAGCAAGAGCGCTCCAATCTGCAACAGATGACAACGCTAACGCTTCCAACGAATTTGGAACAGGGCTCTGAAAGATGACCTTAACAGACAAGTGGGCCTCACATAGGAAAATCCATTCCCACAAAAAATGCTAACGAGACTGGGGCTAAATTCAACTACTTTTTAAACAGTCAGTTTATTTGTTTGGAGCATCTATGTCAGGGGTGGCCAAGCTTGCTTACCATCAGAGCCACACAGAATAAACGTCAGATGTTTGGGAGCCGCGAGACATGAACAAATATTACACACACGCTTTTATTGGAAAATATGCAGATTGGCTTTTTATTAACATTAAATTAATTAGACTGTGTGACAGAGCCGCATGCTGCTCCCGAGCTGCAGTTTGGCCACCCCCAATCTATGTTTTGCTCTTCCATGCGTATTCAGAGCACCCTTACAACTATAAATAACAGTCGAGATAAAAAAAACACAGTGCAGAATAGAGAACACCGGGGTAACTGAACAAATCACAACAACCTTGTGAGGTAGGTTAGGATGAGCCAAGGTCACCCAGCCAGCTTCCATGGCAGACTGGGGATTTGAGCCCGGCTACCCCAGCTCCTAGTCTGAAACTCTGGCCGCTCTACACTACATTGGACTGACTGTGGAGATCCCACACATATAGACCTGTTTGGTAGTTAAGGTCATCACCAGACATCCACTCTTGGGGTCTTCCCAACTGGGTCACTACCAGGGGACATGATGAAGGCACCCCCTTTGTGGAACTCCTTCTCCCACTGAGCTGATGTTCAGGCGTTAGCGGCTATTTACCCAGGCATTTGACAGAATTTAGTTGAGAACCTACCGTTAAAATTCAGCCTATTGACGGAATTACTTATTTTAAAGATTCATAACCTGCTCCGTCAACCAAAGATTTATCACGGGCTTGGTTCTGTATTGATTTATTGCTTTTTAAAAAAACACCGTAAGCCGTCTGGAGAGCATTTGTTAAGCGAGGTAGAAATATTTTAATAAATAAAAATAAAAATGAAGAATCAACTAGAATAAACGAATCAAAATTAAATCAGATGTGTAAAGCATGATGCAGTGGTTAAGAGTGGGGAACTCCAATCTAGAGAACCAGTGTTGATTCCCCACTCCTCCACAGGGAGCCTGCAGGGTGATGGTGGGCCAGTCACAGTTCCCTCAGAACTCTCTCAGGCCTACCTGCCTCTCAAGGTGACTGTTGTGGGGAGAAGAAGGGAAGGTGATTATAAGCTGCTTCTGAGACTCCTTAGGGTGGAGAAAAGCGGGGTATAAAAACCAACTCTTCCTTTTCTCTTCTCAACTGTATGGATTGACTACGCTGGATTGATACCCTGAGGGATTGTTGAAGCCAAACCCCAGTAAACCTAATTTAAATGTACCGTGCATTTCTCTCAGGGAAAATAAAAAGAGGCAGGTGCTTTGCCATGTGGTCATAGTCTTGTCTACTGAGGATGTCTTATGCTATCTGAATTGTTTTTATATTTTGTGACCCACCTGAAGACTGAGTGAGAACAGGTCAAAACAAGTAAGCCAACAAACCAAATGAAATTTCTCTGTAGGCAGCTTATTTAGGGCCAACGCAGAAAAGGTCCCACTGCTACCCACCACTGAGCTTTGACCTCTACACACAGTGATTCAGGATACAGCCACTAAATCTGAACGAGTGGGGCTCTCCCTGTCAGCTGGTGAGTTCAGGACCTCAATCCTTTTTGAGTTATTTGATGTTCCTTTGAGCTTCTTGTTTCTATAACATGTAAAATGTTGAATTCTTAATAAAGCATTCATTTTAAAAGAAGGAAGCTGACCATCCAACCTTTTTTTCAACCTAGTGAAGGCAATAATGATGCCACCTGTGAACCAATTAATGGCTCTACCCACTAGTGACCCATATTTTTGCCAGTCACCCTTCACCAAGTAAGCTGGGCAAGGCCCCATCCTTTACTAACCCAGTCCAATTTGGCTACACAGACCAAAAACTAGACCAACTTCTGCCAAGAAGCATTGGAGGGGGGGGGAACCCCTCAAACCAGTTTTAAAACCATGGGAGAATGCACAAGATTCTCAAGCCATGTTAGTTTGTCCGTAGCAGTAGAAAAGAGCAAGAGTCCAGGAGCACCTTAAAGACAATCCTGAACAAGTCAGCAGTGACTCACAAAAGCTCATACCCTGCCACAAATCTTGTCAGTCTTTAAGGTGCTCCTGGCTCTTTTCTAATGGGAGAATGCACTTACTTTATTAAGGGCTCCAGCTCCAGTCAAGATGATATGCGAATTCTCCACTTGGATTGTCCTCTGTCCCAGCCGGACAAGGTAAGCCCCGATGCCGATTGCCCGACATGTCACCTGAAAGAGAAATGGTGTCCGTTTCATTTCCATAGTCCCGTAACTTGGCAGGAAGCTGAGAGGACTGACGTGTGTGCTTTGCATGCAACAGGACTCTGAGTCAAATTCAAGCCCCAAATCGTAGCCTGTAGGGGGAGACTCCCTGTTACGTCTCTGTATTATTTACTGATCTGACATCACCTGTTCGTAATTTTAATTCTATTAAGATGGGGAGCTGTGCATGGTATGTGACTGGCTTGTTTGGTTACTCCCAAATGCAGATAAATAATCAGAATTACTCATCCTCAAAGGAAACTCCCTGTAAGTATCTCTGTATGATCCACTGCTCTGGCCAAATGTCTGTGAGGCTGGACAGCTGGACTGCACCTCAGCAGTGGGTGCGAATGGATATTATCTAATCTCGAGACAAAACTTTTTGACAGGTTGAGGCCCTTCTGACTATCCCATCAATCGGAGAAGCTCGTTTGGTGGGTACATGAGCGAGGGCCTTCTCAGGGGCAGCCCCAGGAGGGTGTGCCTGGCCCCTTCATTTTCGATCTTTAGGAGGCAGCTGAAGATTGGGGGGGGGGCTTAGAAGAAGAAGAAGAGATTGGATTTATGCCCCGTCCTTCACTCGGAGTCTCAGAGCAGCTTACAAACTCCTTTCCCTCCCCCTCCCCACAACAGACACCCTGTGAGGTAGGTGGGGCTGAGAGAGCTCTTTCCAGAACTATCCTTGAGAGAACAGCTCTGAGAGAGCTTGTGACTGACCCAAGGTCACACCAGCAGCTGCATGTGGAGAAGTGGGGAATCAAACCCGGTTCTCCCAGATCAGAGTCCACACTCTTAACCACTACACCAAACTGGCCACATATGGTTAAGTTTTCTAGCAGTCCTGAATCATGATTTAAAATTTCGGCTTTCACTTTTAATGTATTTTATTTTATGTATCTTATCTGGGTTGAAAGCTGCCTTGTGTTCCATAAGGGAGAAAGGTGGCTAATAAATGTTTTTAAATAAATAAAGACTATGGGGCGAGGGGGGCCTGGGGATCGACATCCAGCCCGCCAAAGGCTTGCCTCACTGCCTGTGCACATCCCTAGAGCTTTCTCCACAAACAAACACTAGTTTGCAGCTCAGGCACCCTGTCTGATGACCACAGGTCTATTTAACCTCCTATCACTGAATGGACGCTGCTGCGTTGTATCTCTTGCCCTGTACAACAGCAGACAGTGCAATATGGAGAGATGCAGGCAAACAGCAACAGAGAGCCATTGAAGTTAAAGAAGGACTCTGTCAAAGCCTCTGCTGCTGTTCAGACAAGGGAAGAAGAGCTCTTTGCCTGTGCTTCAGAGCCTGCACAGACAGAAGCCAGTGGTCTGACACAAAGTTACAGTCAAAAACAAGGATTTACCAGGTTGATAGTGATAATTTCTTCATACGCTAGCGACGATTCTCCTGCAATCATGCCAGATCCCCGCAGGTTCTCTGTTCCAAGACCTTCTTCCTTCCCGATAATATCTGTAATTTTGTATCTGAGAAAGAGAGGGGTCATGAGATTCCAGCTCTGAGTTCTTGGAGAAACCATGCTCCGTAGAGCCAGAACACCGGATACGGGAGAGCCACAGTTAACATAACTTCTTATAGCAATGTGATCCAAAAGCCACAAGCAGTTCTTAGCAGGACTGCAAGTGGCAGATGAATGACTGGATTCAGACTGGGAGAAGAAAAGCTTTGTTCACTTCTGGTTCTTGAGCGCATGCGTGCACACACATTCACACACATTCACACACACACACAGTGGGGTCCCCATCTCTGTTGTTGGCATGTGAGCAAAGCTACCCTTTATTATGGATTATTTCAGGTACTCAGCAGGGTTTATGCCCCAGTCTATTTTCCAGGCTAGATTTACCCACAAATGACATTTTGATACCTCCAATGATCTTGGGTTCTGTAACCTTCATCCTGTGAATGAGGTTAGGCTGAGAAACAGAGCATGGGTACCTGCAAGCTTCACCAAAAAGAGGGAAATTAAACCTATAACCAGAAAAACCAAAAGAGATTGAGGAACACATTGGATTTATTTTTTTAAGTGGTCTGATCCAGGGGTGTGAGCTCAGTATGTACCAAGCCAAATAAATACCCCAAAAAGACCTTTATTTATTCAGCTGAATCAGATTTTCTAATCTAGTTCAGCTACTGATGTAGCTGAGTTCGAAATAAAATCCAATATTATTCGGCTTTTATTCGGGCTCAGCTTCACTAGCCGAAGCAGCACAAGTTCACCCATCTTCTGGATAAACTCGCACCACTTCTAGGTACCTCGCACGTGGCTTGCCTTTGCAAAAGCCATTTAAAGGGAAAGTTCCCTTGAAATGGCTTTTGCAAAGGCAAGCCACCCGCGTGACTCACAGAGTTGTGCCACTGCGGCGGTATGACTCTGCAAGTCAGACATTTAAACCTTAAGTAATTCTCTTTTCTCCTTGAGTTGGCACATCTCAGCAAGCAAAGGGAAGGCATTTAAAGAGACCACAGTCTCTTTAAATGCCTTTCCTTCATTTGCTGAGGCATGTGGCTGCTGTGACGCAACTCATGAAGGGGAAGGAAGGAGGAGGAGGAGATTGGATTTATATCCCATCCTTTACTACCCGAAGGAATCTCAGAGCAGTTTACAATCTCCTTTTCTTTCCTCTCCCCACAACAGACACCCTGTGAGGTAAGGTGGGGCTGAGAGAGTTCTTTCAAGAACTGCTCATGAGACTTCAAATACCTTCCCTTCCCTCCCTGAGTTGCACCATGGTGGCGGGCATGCCTCAATGAGTGGAGGGAAGGCTTTAAATGATTTCCCTTAATTTGCTGAGGTGTGCTGCCAAGGTGCAACTTGGGGAGGGAAGGTAAGGTATGTAAAGAGAGCTTTGCTGAATAAATTTGGCAATACTGATTATTTCTTGAATCCCAATATCATACCAATCGCTATATACCAATATTTTTCAGGTTTGGTGTACCCAAACCTGAAAAACGTCATGTGCACATACCTAGTCTGATCTATCCCTCAACTTTTTTTTTGGGGGGGGGGGTTATTATATGAGAGCTTCATTACAAAGGAAGAATTTGGACTTGAAATCTCCTCAGCCCTAAGACCACACTACTATGAGACACTGGATTTCCTGTGCTGAACCTTTCCACGATAACACAGTTCTTCCCCAGATTCCTGCCGGGGCTCCTGCCACCCACCACCCACCTCCTTTCTTTCCAGGATCAGGCTGGCCTCCTGTTGGGTCTGCTCCTTTTGCTTTACCAGCAAGAGGAATGACTCGCCTAAAAGCCCAAACAAAAGATCAGGAGGAAAGGGCTTTCCTGAAAAGTGTCTCCTGGCTCCTCACTGCATTTGATTTAGACCCTTTAAAGGCGTCTCAGCAAACACCAATGCCATCAGTGGGGGCAAATGCATGCCTGGCTGCGTGGATCTGGATGTGAGTCCATCTGTGTGGCATTTCTATTCTGGAACACTTGTTCAATGGCCTTGGGCAGGTTGCATACTCCTGAACCAGGACTGCACAGAGTTCCACTCTACACACAGGCTCTACTTCACTGCCGGGATATATACACTGAGTTATATGCTGAAGAAGAAAAGTTGGATTTATACCCCGCCCTTGTGTGTTACATGCCAACAAGTCGCTTCCAAATTATGGCCACCCTATGGATTAATGACCTCCAAAACATCCTGTCATTAACAGTCTTGCTCAGGTCTTGAGAACTGGAGGATGCCCTGACCTGGAAGCTAGATCTCAGAAGCTAAGCAGGGCCAACCCTGGCCAGCATTTGGATAGGAAACCTCCAAGAAATACCAGGAATGGGAGGCCAGAGGCAGGCTATCAAGCCACTTCTCTGAATGTCCTCTGTGCCCCAGTAGGAGTTGGCAGAGGTCGCCATGACATGGGTGCGTGTGCGCGCGCACACACACATGCAAAAATTCCGGGGGGAAAAGAACTGGAGGCCATGGCTTCCTTGATTGAGTCTTAGAAGTCTGGCAAGGTATACAGAGTGCCAAAGAGGTACCCTGTCCTGACACGGACCACACCCAGCCTTGCTTAGCTGCAGTAAGTTGGCTGTATCATGGGGCCACCAATCATACCCGGGAAACCTACCTATTTACCATTTTTTCGGTAGGTTAAATTACCCTCACCAGCAGCAGAACATTCGGAATACTAAATGTGGTGCTAAAAGGGAGGAATTTTTTTAAAAGCTCCAGTGGTTGCAATAAACATACCTGGATTCTCCTTCATCTTCCACATGCTCACAGTGTACCGAGTTCAAGGCACTGACTTTCTTATAATCCTGAGGAGTCAGGTACAAATACTTGAACCCCTGAGAGGAAAAATGAGATAACGAGTCTCTGTCATTGGGATGTCAGAAGGGAATGAATGCTATATATTACACTCATACCAGTGAAAGGGGAATGCAAACTTTTGCGATTCCCATGAGTGGCTCCCCACTATGGGGAAATCTAGGACTAGGACAGATATTTCTGCAGGCCCTGGGGAGTTACAGAGAAATTTAAACTTTTTTAAAAATAGAAGGGCTTTAAGAACCCAGGATTTAAAAAAAAAAAAAAAACCAAAAAGATTTGGGTAGCATTTTGGGTAGCTACAGCCTCTGTTGTTGCATGGCCCCCACTTCACTACATCCAAGGACCAAAGCACGCTATTTAAAATTTTTTTTAATTATTTTTAAATAACAAATTCAATCCCTGGAATCCCCAGATAGGGATCTCAAGTAAGAGATACCAAAAAGCGCGCGCTCTCTCTCTTTCTGCCTGAGGACGTGAAGAACCACTGCCAGCCATAGTGGACCATACAGAGCTGGACAGTCCAGTGGTCTGACACACGTACAGCAGCTTCATCTAGGCATGCCACGCCAGAGATGTAAAAAAATCTAATTAAAAAAATCTAATTCAAGCAGATTTGACTTCTCAGTACTAAGTATAAATGTGGGTTCTTAGGCATCTTTTGTGTAGAGAGTTTGGCCCTTCAACACATATTTAGCCCATCAGATTTATATCACTGTCAACAGAGTAAAATTAACCCACCTTCCTCCCATAATCAAGAACCCACCAACCCAGAATACATGACACTGATCCAGCATCATACACCATCTCTCACATCCTTACTTTATAAGGGTCGGCAGGGTCTTCCCACGAAACGTGGAACATGTGGCGGATCTCCTCAGCCAAACCAATCCTAGCACCACTGTTGGCAGCCACGTAGATTCGGGGGATGCCCTGTATCCGAGCAAGCTCCGAGGCCCTAAGATAGAGTAGATCTTCTTGGGGTCCAAAGGATCCGATCCGATAGGTGATATCATTGCTAATGACGATGATATCCCGCCCTTCCGGATACTCTGGAGTCTTGAGGGTCATTCTCCAAGCTACCATGCCGATCTGCATTAACGGAGAGACAGATCATTTAATTCCCCAGCACTTGATTGAATTTCTGTCCCACAACAGAGATAATGCCTCTTACGATAGCCCTTTAGAGACCAACATAGCTAAGAAACTATCTCCCTTTCAAATTCTAATGTTCTAATTCTGAACATTCCGTCACACCACACTGTTTATGCTGATGGAGGTGTGGGGCTGGGCATACAGCGCCTGTATTGATTTTCTAAGCTGAGATCACCAGCGGAAAAAGAAGGTTTGGCTGCCATTTAAGTTTTGTTTGTATGGACCAAGCGAGACACAAACAGAGGTTTTTAGAATGCAGGTCAGTCTCAATTACAGAGAGAGAGAGAGAGAGAGAGAGAGAGAGAGAGAGAGAGAGAGACACGCGGAGAGTTGTCATGACAGTCTCGAGAGAGAGAGAGAGAGAGAGAGAGGTGCAGAGACTTGTTTTAAGGGAGCGTGCAGAGGAGGGCCCATAGAACCCATCCCCGTTCCTATTGTGCATTACCCCACGGCTCCTCCCTTCAAGTACTCCAGCGGGGTTCAGTACTGCTACTGGTTTTGGCTAAAGGAAAAAAAGAGGACCACAGGATTGCTAAACTGCAGATGGAAGGAAGGTGTAGCATCCCCCCCATGTTCCATTCAAATCAGTTGCCCAATCCCTATTTCTACATGATTGGGACCAATGTGAGTTTGAAGAAGGAAATCGCTTGCCATTGTAACTAGTTTGCTTCTTTACTTTCTCCCAAACAGCAGCTCTTGGATCCCACTGGAAAAAAATGGATTGCTATACCCGGAGACTGTACTGCAGTGAGAAGACAGGACCCGTACTCCATTCAGGACACTAACACGGGATTTACAATGAGAGCAGAGGAGCAAATGCACCTGCATGCAGAACACATGTATGCACTACGCACCCTCAAGATCCTTACAAAGAGCAAGTCCCCCCTCTCTGCACACAATCTGTCCCATCACAGCAGTCATTTTCAGAGGCTCTCAGATCAAACAAGAGCTTACTTGCAGCTAGTTTTACTGATAAACAACATGATCGTACTTAGCACATTCCAAATTCTAATGAACACTTGTAAGTACACAGCTCTTGATACGTTCCTAAATCTGTTAACACAACTACATCACAATAAACAACAAACCACCATTGTATACCAACTGTTGGAGCTTTAGGACTAATAGAAGTGCTCTCTGGGTTGCACAATTGCTAACACCCTTCCAACTCTTCCCCCCTCCCTCCCCAGTTTCCTGATAGCAAAATAGCCAGTATCTGCCTACCAATGGGAAGAGGCCTGGCCCATTTCAGCTCCCTCAATATTCACCCACTCTCTCCTCATCTAATACATTCTCCCTCACCTTTCTTAAAACTCTTTATCCATGGCAGGTAGGGCAAGCAGATTCAAGGAGAATATGTGGTAGTTGTATGTCTCCTGTGCCGTGACTTGGGACCAAGGTTGTTAAAGAAATCAACGGTGACAAATCCATAATATACCACTTCACTCTTACTCTTTTATTTCTAAATTAGATTGGACCCAAAACATAAACTCTGTTACTAAAAACTATATTGAGAGTGGGAAGAATTAAAGCTGCCAAAACTCCACAACTGCCTGCAATTAAAGAGTGGATTACTAGAGACCCAGTAAATGACACAACTGTCCTAAACAAAGTGATACTGCTCAGTGGCCGGACAACAAACAAAGTGTGTGTGTGTGTGGGGGGGAGAGTCTCTCAAGAGCTGGCATCTTGACATTGATTGACTTTGGGAAGTAGGGTATTTTTCTCATGGATGAGATTTTGCAGTTTTAACTCTACAAAGTGCATTTTTATATATACATAGAATAAAAAGATTTCTTAAAATAAAAAGAAACAGACAGTACGTCTCTTGCACGCATACATCTCTTGCACACTTAATAAGTTTGCTAAGAATTTAGGCAAGAGCAGCTGTCGTCGTCCTGGCACAAGATATGTCTAAATTCTCTCTCTCCTCAGGGGTATCATCTTCAGTGATGCGGTGGGGGGCCCAGTGCACATCTTGGGCAAAGCTTCGGCCTCCAGAACATATGGTTTCAGCACCTTGGACAGCCGCTTAACACAGCCTATTGTAAAGGGCCACTCTTTAGACTGAGAGCAGAGCCACATCACTAGCAGAAGGAAGTGGTTTTCTTGGTCAGCAGCATCATTTCAGATTACAGGGCTGCCTGCCTGCTCCCCCATACTTAAAAACAGAAAGAAACCACCCAGCACATGCCAAATTGCACACTGGGAGCATTCTAAGCTCACCTTTTCTTTGATGTGTTAGTTTGCTAAGTGAAAGGAAGTGTTGGGAAAACACAAGGGGACAGGCAAATACGAAAACTTATACTCCCAGAATTAAACTTTGTTGATCTTAAATGTGCCACTGGATTCAAACGTTGTTCTGTTGCTTCAGAGCAACATGGCTACCCACCTGCATCTACCTTCTAAAGCACATAGGCTAGGAAGAGTAACTGCTTAGAATCGTACTATTAACCCGAAACAGGCCAGAGGCCACTTTTAAAGGACTGAGGACTTCCATTGCCTTGCTACTGAGAAATGGTAGATATTCCACCTCAAACTTTGCAAATGCCAACTATGCACTCTGGAGGCATGTGAACACTGAAGGACCATGGCACAGTGGCAAAGTCAGCCTATCCAGTTCCGGGTGAAATATTACAGTAACATTTTGGCTTATTTTGCATTGAGTCGGTAGAATGAAAGTAGAGGCTCACATTGTATACTTTGACAGAAGAGTAAAATAAAAGAGTATAAATGGGAAAGAGGGACAGGCAAGAGGGAGAGGCCATGGCTCAGTGGTAGAGCATTTGCTTGGCATTTGGAAGGTCACAGGTTCAATCCTCACCATCACCTGCCCCACAGGGAGGGCGGGGTATAAATTGAATAGATAGATAAATAAATAAATAAAAGGATCAGGTAGCAGGTGATGTGAAGGACACCAATGTGAAACCCTGGAGAGCTGCTGCCAGTCTGAGTAGACAATACACACCTTGAGGGACTGATAGTTTGATTCAGAATGAGGCAGTTTCATGTGTTCAAGAGCTCAGGGCTTAAACAGGCCACAGGAATAAACCAAGAAAGCGTTTCCAGAGTAACGCCAGAGGCAAAAACTAGATATTATGGCAAATACAAGGCTGCCAAAGAATAGCAGCCCCATGTCACCTTCTCCACTCTACCTCATGAACTAGGAATGCACAACCCTTGACGTGGCATTATCTGATCCAGAGCTATACACACTCTCCACTCCATCATCTGCCAATGTAGGGGACCTCAGTGTGTAATAATTAAGCATGGAGCATCCCCAGGAATTACAGAAAGCAGCACAGGGCTTCTGCTTTCTGAGGTAGCCTCGCACTGGCTGTAACATCTATTTCCAGCCCCAGAGGCAATTCTGAACAGCCAGCCAGTCCGTGTGTTTCCCAAACAACATATTGGCTGCCTCTGTGTAGCCACCAAGACAGAAAAGGCGAATGGAGAAGGGCAAGAACGGGAGTGAAAATATATCTTGAAGATGCAAAGAGTCTAATTTAACTGTTTTTTTGTGTTGGCGAAATGATGTGTGCCACAGTATTTCCATAAGAAGTGAGGCCATTATTCTCCTGTAGAAACCCATTTGGCCTGAAAGGTATCACTGGCCGGGATGGGAAAATCAAACCAGATGAATTATTCATCACCTCCGATCAGAAGCAATCATTATTTCTGATGTTCCAAACTGTGATTAGGGTTCTGTGCTGGGATGTCATTTGCTCCCTGGGTAACAACGGCAAGATGGAATTGCAAGACAGAGAGAGAGATGCATAATGTTGTGTGTATTGTTGTGCGCATGCAATTTTTCACATACGTTTCCACTCCACAGAAACACACACACAAACAGATCACATGTTAAAGCTTTGGTAGCAAATGCATAAACACACAGTAGCCATAACCCTACTCAGTGCTGGCATACATGGGAATTGCTCCTAATGATCTTTAGACTGGGAGACAAGTTATCGGAGTGTCAAGTGGGAGGTGGCGGCACCTACACCTTATCCAAAGCACAGGAATTTCAGAGTCAACGAAAGAGTCCAGACAAAGGACTATTCACTGTGCAGCAGCTGTCCATAACAGCAGATTTCTCCTCTGGCCACAGCAGCCAAGGCAACTTTGCCCATGCTGCATGATGCAGTTAAGTGGGTTGGGCACACACAAAACACTGTAATGTCTGCACACAAGTGACCTGTCCTTGGAATTATGAAGGGGGAATCAGAGAGAGTGACTGAAAGGTGGAATTCGCTGCCAGAGGATGTAGTGATGGCCACAGGAATAAACAGCTTCCAAAGGGGATTAGAGAGATTCATGGAGGATAGGCCTATCAGTGACTACTAGTCACAGTGACTAAAGGGAACCTCTGTGTTCAGAGGCACTAAACCTCTGAATACCGGAGCCAGGAGACAACATGAGGGGAAACCTCCTGCCTCCATACACTGTCGTTGGCCTTCAGGGGAACTGGCAGGCCACTGGGTGAGACAGGATAGACCACTGGGTGAGACAGGTGTGAGACAGGATAGACCACTAGCAGGGCTCTTTTTACATTCTTAATTAAACACATGGCTGCTTAATGCCAATGTATGTTTCCTGCCAGATTGTGATCCAGTCAACTTGCTTCCTAAGCATGGCACAGAAATTTCCCCCATTCTCCAAGAGATAAAAGTGTTCACTGATTCTCCCTCCACCTTCAAGCAACCTGATCATTAACTGCACTTGCTTGGAAGGACTGGTTTATTCTCATGACTCTCTTTGGGGCAGACTAGTATTATTATTAGGGCCAACATGAGCCTGTGGCCAAAATCAGCATCCCCACATCAGGTTTTAACTACTTAGAAACTGCTGGGGGCAGTGAGCACGGTGCAGTCTCGGCAAGAGGACATTCTATACGCACAAACACTTATTTTTGTATTTACTGCATCTTCCCTGGGAAT